CCCCTAAAGGGCAGCTCCCGGGGCAGGGCCGCACACTCCGCCTCAGGGATTTGGGCCGGCGAAGATTTAATCGGTTCGGTTTATTGGCGCAGCGCAAAACCTCTCACATCCCTGCATCGCATTGCTGAGAGAGAGGGGGATGAGGGGGCGGCAGAGCTAAAAAATACCATCCCCAACTGTTGAAACCAGTAAAAAAGGCTGTAACCAATATTAACTTTCCATAACATGTTCATTTAGATGGTTTTAAAATCTAAGTAGTCCATTGAGAGAGAACTACAAAAGGCAGAGCAGCCCCCAGCCCAGGCTGGTGTTGCCCTCGCAGGTCGGCTCCTGCCCTCAGGAGCCTTCGGTGTCGGAGTTGTCGCTGCCGGTGGTGTTCTCCCAGTCGGCCTCGTGGTGTCGGTCCTTCGGTAGCCTTCGCATCGCTCTTTTTCTGAAAACAAGACTAGACGTTTCATTTTTAGAAGAGGTTTTTTGCGAACAGGTGGCATTGGAACGTTCTGGGGAGGTTTAGTGTGTATCGACCCCCTTAGTGCTTCGTTGAACGTGACGGTTTGTTCACGCACCCAACAAAGCTGCGAGGGGGAGCAAGCGTAAGGGAAAAAGAACTGGTCTAAATTAATGAAGACTTTCTTACATTTCATGAAGCAGGGTGTAGTGTTGATGTTCAGTTGAAGAAGCCAAGAAATCCTACCCAAAGTCTTTTCTCTAATAAAAATAGTCAACAGTCAGAAGAGTAGTTTATGGTGCCATTAGGAGCACTTCTATCTAATGCTAGAAGTAAGGTCCCTGTTTTACAAGGTTTTCATCGGTCTCACGCAGCAATCAGTGACGACACCAGGCATTTGGAGAACGGGCCTTCAAACAAGAGCAGGTGTAGAGGGCAGAGGGTGGAAATTGCTACCACTCACAGCGGTGAGAGCTTGGTCTTGAATGTCAGCAGTATGTCAGACGGACAGTGAATGTCTGACAGGGGAGAAATCTATCCAATTTATTAACCTAGCAATTCTTTGGAGCGCCCTCCGCTCCCTGCTGTGGAAGCACCTGCATTGTCCAGAGCAAATGCGATCATTCAGTCACTGCTATCTCGGATACCTCTAGTCCTAAAACAGGAGTCTCAACCAGTTCAGCTAGAAGCATGAGCCTTGAAGACAAGATCTGTCATGAACTTATGCTCTCCATGAATCAAGCGTGGGGACAGGGGATGGACAGAAAAGAGGAAATACATACAGCAAGCTAATCAGTTCAGTCACATGGGTGTGTCTAAATTAGCCCTGCTTACAAAAGTCCAGACCTTCGGTAACGCTCAAAGCAGTCCTTCATCCTCCTCCTCTCCTTTTCTGCCAGTTCCTCGTTGGCTAAACCACACTCCTTGAACTGGAAAAAAAAATCCAAACAAATATGAACTGGATTCCTCTGAAGATCAGATCAATGTTAGCACCAGGTAGCGCCAACCTGCTCGGCAAAGGTGGCCGGTTTTGAGGCTGATGTACTGCATCTGGCCTCTGCAGGGTGAAAGGCTGCAGACAATGCAACTGGGAAGCATCCGTACCCAGAGATGAAGGCCAGAAAGTAGAAGTTTCTAGGCACAGATGGAGAAATAATCCCCGTAAGCGTTCTGCTGTTCAGAGCTCACCCTTTTTGGAGGGTGAATTTTGCACAAAGTGCTCAGATTTTGGAAAAGCAGTAGCTGCTTACACGCTTCTCAAACCTGGTAAGCCCATCGTTGCCAAGAACATTAAAGATCACAAACCCCGGTCATAATAAAGAAGATAAAAAGAAAGATTCTCTTACACTGGGTGACTTTGGAGGCAGACTGCGCTCTCGAGCGCCGAATTGCTGGTTTTGTCCTTCAGGGCAATCTTCTAAGAGAAGGAAAAAAAAAAATCACAGCTTTAGTCATAGTTGCCATTGCGAAGTAACTTCTCCCTCCACCAGTCTGTCAAACAGCTACAGCTGTAACGTAACGGCTGCCCAGCACTACGGAGTCGGCAGCAGAACTGAAACCAAGCCTCAAAACGCTCAGGATTCAGTCCTGTGATCCGTGCACGAGTCGCTTCTCATTTTACTTGAACCCTGAATCTTGCTTGGGGTGGTGGAGTTCCCCATCAGGCTCCGAAAGAGACAGCACCTTCCTAGTTTCTGCTTATGCAGGAGCAAAACGAACCTTTGCAAAGCAGCACCTCTGCTTAGCATCGTTAAAAAAACCCAATCGTGTTAGAGGACACCACCAGAAATCAAGTTAATCATTATTTTCACCATAATTTGTCCCTGTTCCGCAACTACTACGTTGTGCGTATCAAGGCACTTCACATCAGACCATATTTTTGTGAAACTCCTTATGCAGTGATCAGGTATCGTGTTTTTGAATCGATTGAGGTAGAATAATAAAAGGCTTTTTGGATCAGCGTTGTTTAGCTTTTGTGAAAAAATCTCCCATCTCAATGAAGGAAAAGATCATTTAGATCTTCCAGGAGATCAAAACAGAAGATTTTTTTTTCTACTGTGCTAATTCCCTTCCTTTCTCAACATGTTTTGAAAGAGAATTTCAAGTTCTTAGAAGAGCCTGTTAATTCCTTTCCACACTGCTGAATCATTTCCACTGGGGATGCGACAGAAACAGAACCAGTGACAGCGTTAAGTACACGGTTCTGCTTTTGTGAAGATCCTGCCACACAGAAGGGCAGAGGGGAGGGAAAAAATCCCTGGAGAAAGCCACATGGTCCGGCTGAAGCGGAAGGATGTTTGTTCTGCTCTCAGCTCTGCCACCAACGCAAGAGGAGTGGGGGGGGGGAAAGGCACCCAGGAGCTCCTTCTCAAAGGCACCAGTTACCAAGTGATTTCTCCTGGACAAATCCAGTAGACAGATTACCTCAAAAAACAGACTCGAGGTCCTAGGATGGTCTAATGACCACTTTTCCCAGGTCCTTCAGCTACATGAAAGACCCTGTCAGAGACCACGTAGTAAAAAAGACAGCCTGGGGAGCTTTTTCTCTCAAAAAAGCTTTACAAGCATTCACTGTTCCCAGTATCTGGGGACGTGTTCTCCTCGTTATAGGCAAGAAAGACGGTGGTATGGCAGAATGCCTTGATCTGGGGGTCCCTCTTCTGAGTCATCTCAAGGTGGTCTTACTCGGCGTGCCAAGCACACCCCACGGAGAAGCATCTCTCACAAACTGAGGTGCCAGTCAGACCACCTGTTCTTCACCAAAAATAAAAC